GTCAAATCCCACATGTGCCAATTGATTTCAAAGAGAAAAGCTTTTCCAAAGCCAGTGACTGTACCTCTAACTTTGACCAGCTATCATGCAAATGCATGGCTGGCAGCCTAAGGGATATCAAGCCAAGAAATGCAAAAGGTTTAGTTCAAATCCAGCCCCACTCAAAGCAATGCTAATGGTGGATGAGTGCATCTTTGTCCCCAACTGCATTCTCTTGGAAAGGCAATATCAACAGGCTAGGAAAAGGCTTTTAGTCAAGGTTTAGAAGTCTATAGATTCTAATTTGTCCCCTCTAATTTAAAAAAGGGCAGCTAAAAACTGACCTACTTACTTTTCCTCACTTCCAAGAGAGTGAGAAAACCTAAAGATGAGAACTGTCAGCTGGTCCTTCCTAGCAAAGAAAAGTGACAATCTGTTTTCACAAGGCGTGTGCTCCTTTGGCCAGATAACCTGCATATATTTGGTCATGTCTGAGCTTCTATTCCATCCCTGAGGGATTGGAACCCACCTTAAAAGAAAATAAAACAAAGAATCTGAGGCTCCTCTTTCTTTAAGTAAGTGGGATCTCCTATCTTTGGGGATGAACAGAAACTATGTAAAGAAGATAAAGGAGACTAAATGTTCTTTGGTCACTATTTAAATCCAGGGTTCTCCTTTTTTGAATAGCACCAAATCCTTGTTAATTACAACCTAGACTATGAGTCTGTTAAAGTTAGAAGAGGTCATTTACTTTCACAAAATCCTCTTGTTTTATAGACAAGGACATTTTGGCCCAGGAAGTTTAAATGCCTGCCAAAGTCATATAGCTAATGAATGACAGTTCTGGGAGCAGTTTTCTGAACACTATATTTCAACTGAAGGAAGCTTGAGTTAACAATAATAACCTCAATCTAGGAAGGTTGTGGCAATCAATAACAATGAAATTCATTGCAAAGTTTCACTTAAACTCTTTATAAAACAGTATGTTTTAACACATGAAGAATGCCATTCATTTATTCAGACCTGTTCTTAATAACTATGCATTGGAAGTATGTTTTACAAAAGCTATAAATCTGGAATAGCCAAAAGGGTATCCAACTTTCCTTTCTAATTGATTTACTTCTCCTTTTTCCCAGACCGCTGAGGTAAAGCATATACAGTTTATTTAAGGGACTGTTTATAGACTCTTAAAACTAAAAAGGACCCCAGAAACTCACTTTCTTTTGGTTGCTCTTAATTGAAACCATCCAAGGTAGTTGGTTGTCCATCAATTTTTTAAGTATCTCCAAGGAGAGAAATTCCACAAGCCTCTAAAGCACATGTTAAAACGGTCAATCACCATGGCTGTCAAGAATTATATCTATGGCAGGCTTAACTTCTCCTGTTTCACTTGAAGCTCTTTTCCTCTTGCTTGGTTCCATGCAAAGTGAAGTTACAACAAGCTGCCCTCTGTGAGGGCTCTGTAAGGCTGGTAAGATAATAGCTAGTTCTTTCCCAATGTGCCACCTCCATTATGCCACCATTTTTCTTCCTGGACTATGAGGGTCCGAGACTGGTTGATGCGCTCTCTTACTACGATACATAGGGAAGAACCCGTACTTAGTTCTATCTTCGCAACTTCCATTTCATAAAATGTCTGGGGAAGCTCAAAAATAATAGAGGAACTGTTCCACTTATGCTGGGAAGATGTTCACAAAACAGATAATCTAGAAGGTGGCTTCCCCTGTGCTGTAGTGGAACTTGGCTTGTAAAGAAATATGAGCTGATTTACAACATTGGGTCAATCCATACGAGATAAGCTTACCAAAAATATTATTCAAAACAGTTCTGTCTCTAATAGGGTTAAAAAAGTCTCTTGGTTAAATATTCTGGCCCAACAAAAAAGATAGATATGGAGGCAATTTTCTTTGAGATGTCTGAGTTTCAAACTAAGATCAGAAACCACCTCCACTATTAAAAAATACCCATACATTGAAAATGAACTTGGAGTAGCTTAAAATAAAACACACAGCCACAATAAAACTTTGAAAATAAGGGTAAAATGATAATGAGTCAATTGATAGGGGATAGAGGTGGGGAAGACTCTTTTCCTCTAAAAAGTATTTCAAAGGCTATAAATACTTAGGGCTGACTTCTCCATACACAGTAAATCTCAGGGGACAAAAAGGAAACACAATAAAATTTGTTGACAGCAGTTAATGCCTGTAAGAATAATTGGCTCAGACACAAAACAGACCATCAATGTAGCTTGGGGAGGACAAGAATGCAGCCTCTAAGTCATTGTTAGTATACATTGTATTCAGTTCAAAAAAAGATAAAGTTTTATCAAATAGCTGGGTAAATACGAGATGAGAATTGTCCAAAGTATCTGACAAACCTAATTCTTGATGATTCTGAAGACTAAGATCAAGAAGACTAAGATCAAACAAGTAATGCCTTTCCATTCAACTGGATTCAATTCAAGTCAGTCCTGTCAGTTCAACAATCAAATATGAGCTGAGGCTGTATCAGCCAGGCACTGAGCTAGATACTGGCATGCAATGGTAAATAAATACGGATCTTGGTATCAAGGAGTCCACTGAGAGGGTAGATTCTGGTTAGGAGATTTCAAAAATGGGACAAAATATTCAGGAAAAGCATAAATGACCATAATCTGTTCTTCCATGATTATTTTTCTCTTATGACACTTGATGATACTTACGTATGTTTTGTTTGTTTGTTTTTTGTTTTTTGTTTTTATCTCCCAACTAGGCTGTGAGTTCCTCAAAGGAAAAGTTAATCTCTTGGTATCTCATTCATGCCTAGTACAGTGTCTTACACATAGCAGATGCTTCATCAATGTTTTGAATTAAAGAGTTTAAAGGGGCTAATTTATCTTGGGCAAAAGGGTGGTCCAGTTGATAGCAAGTTAACAATAATACTTTTATGCATAAGGGTTTATGTCAGACAAAGAATTTACAATAAGTCATGGAGTTCTATAAGGCAGAACTTATGATATATAGACTCATAATAATAATAATAATAATAATAATAATAATAATAATAATACACAGTTTATAAAACCAACTTCTACCCAGAGTTACACTCTAAACATCAAGCATTGCCATAATTAACCTTCCCCTTTGAAGTTACTAAAATAGAATTAAAAAGCATTTGCTAAAATCTGATTATTGGAGTAACAGAATGCATTTCAAAAGTGCATTTAAATTGGTTTCTGTCATAGCTGTACAATACTCTTAACTATCTGTGTGAATATATAAGATAATATGTTTACTTGAGACCAAATTATTTCTTTCCATTCTCATTTTTTGTCACCTAATGCAAACATCACAGAAAGTTATAGAAAGATTCAGTTTCCATGCACTGTGCATGGAAATCCTGGAGCATGTCATGTTGGACATCACAATTCAACCTGGCACATAACAGAAGACACTGGGGGGCTTGGCAATCACCTAGTGAAGTGGATAAAAGGAAATGGCACAAATGGATTATCAAGGCAGAAAAAGTCCTCTTGGGCATAGTAAGTGAGAACCACTTACTCATTTTTTAAAATGTGGACCAGTAGCAGCAAAGTAAAGAATAGTGACAACCCATCATTGGGTGATGCTGATGTGACACATTTGCCTTCTGCAAGATATTTTGAAGGTAAAAGTCTGCTATTTGAAAAGCATTCACCCAGTGAACTCGCTCATCTGCACGGCAACAGAGAACTGGATAGAATTGCTTTATTGCCAGAAAAATAAATGAATTCACTCAATTAAAGCACTGGCTGGAAACAGAGAGTAGGAATTTATCCATTCAAAGAGTAGAAAGCACTTCTCATTCTCTGTCTCTAGTTGTTGAAAAGCTGTTTGTCGCCAAATCTCCAAGTACAGATCATCAACCTGCCTATCAGCCTCTTCCTTCCCGTTCTTCCTACCCATCCCAGCCTGCTACACACAGACCCCTCCCCTGAGTCTCTCTTTCTCACACACACACACCCCTTGCTGGGAAGACGATGAGAGAGACTTGAAGCACGTAAGTCATCACAGGAGCTATTCAAAGCCTAGTGGGTAGCTGAGGTGAGCTGTCTACACTTGAGAGATATGAACCTCTAAGAATGATTCATCGTCCTGAGGACCTGAGCGTCAGTTCCCTGGAACTCTCTAAAATTTCAAAGAATTATACAGAATAACATCTGGCTTTCCATCTTTCAGTGTCCTGCAATATACAACGAGACAGATGCCTCTGAGGTAGGTTCTTTAAGTGATCTGTTCCCTTAGGCAGCATTGACTCTTGTTTGTGTTTATTATTTATTTGCAAGCATGGACTTGGCTGTCTACTTTTTATTGACTGTCGACTTTTTAATCACCTGAGACCTACATATGGGCTAAGTGACCTTGCACTTGTCAGAAACCCTTTTCCAAATGGAGACATCACTGGAGAGCCCCAGAGAAGAGCAACGTCAAAAGAAGGCAGTAACAAAAAATCAAGGTCAATTTGCATGGAGGGCAAATTAATACAGCATTTCAGTTTCCATTTAGAGAGAGCCTGTGTATTAGCAAACGAGCCTTTCAGCAAAGTTCACCTGTCTGTTCATGGTGATTTCATATCACATGGAGACATCTGGGATGTGCCTCTAAAATTCTTTTGCCAATTCCACCTTCCTAGTTTCCTCCAAATTACCTAGCACTTAAAACAGGCCTACATGTTTACATATGTTTATCCATGCACCCACAGATCTCGGAAAAAAACCTCAATCCCCCAGGGCCATTTTGTCCCATCTTTTCACTGGAAGGAATGGAATAGTGAGGGTTGAGCAGAATAGTTGCCGGAAAACTCAGCGGGAAGACAAACTGCTAAGGAGGAAAATTCCATCCTAAATGCAAAAGCTGCCACAGCCCCGCTGAAACACTAGGCTCACTTTAAGGTGAGGAATCTCAGAGGCTGAGGACGACTGCCAGCCACGGGCAGTCATTCCGTTCTTCACACACTCCCTGCGGTTGTAAATCCACAGAGCAGTGAGAGGGAGGACTACTTACTGAAATAAAAGCCCCTGTCTCCGCACACGAACTGAAGAGCATCCACCAACTCAGCCCCGCAGAGCGTCTCAGGTCCAGCCGTGGCAGAGCTGGTGAAGGTGAGCAAGCACAGGGCCAAGTAGAAGAGATGCGAGGAGGACGTGACGTGCATCTTTACCTGCCAAAGAAGCAGAAGGAGAGTCACGCTTCCTCCTGGGTCCTTGCCAGGGGGTTGAGGGTAAGGCAGGAGTGCCTTTGCCCCCAGCTTTCCAATACTGTCAATCAGAACTGCCCGCTCAGAAGTGCAACAGGAGGTGTGAGTGACCACAGGGCGGTGTGGACTGAGCATGTCTTGGCATCAAGCAACCTGAGTTTAATCCTCCTGCTACTGTGCAACCTTGAGAAGTCCTCCCTGAACCCCCTTCTTTATGGGTTCCTTTTACAACTCAGTGAGGTAAAATATCCAGAAACATTTACTATGGAAGCAAAAGATGCTGTTATTGCAATGGGATCGCACACCATTCAGAGATCCTAGTAAACCTTTGGAACTATCAAAGGTTAAATTGTGCTCATTTCAGATTTGGGGCCAAATATGTTTTATTAATTTAAATTCTCTGAAGACTGGCCATCCACAGATGGCATGTGCATTCATTATTGACCAGAATACTAAATTAACCAGAACATCATTCCCCAGCTGCTGATTAAAGAGAATTCAGTGTGACTGAAAAAGAACTTGTGAAAATACTATATATCATTATAGTTTTTTTTTCTTTTCACTTTTGAGACAGACAGAGATAAAAACAGAGACAGAGAGAAACAGAGGCAGAGAAAGACAGAGAGACAGAGATTTCTTACCTGGGGGATACCAGCAGTTAACAATTACAAGTGGATATAAAAACCAGAAACAGGAAAAAATGTGAGCATTTAGGAATGAAATTGCTTATGCTAAGTAAACCCCACTCCTTCTGCATTCTAAACCTCCATGTGTTAAGCTCAATATCAGATCAACGCATGTGTAGGCAGTGCCTTCCATGAATAGGGCAC